TGAGATTATTAACAGCTTCCATTTGTTTGGCTCTACAATCAACACCCAGTACTAGCAGTCAGGACATTAAAAGATGTATTGCCTTGGGAAAGTCTGCTGTCAGAGACCTCTCCAAAGTACTGAAGAGCAATGATGTCAGTCTGGACCAAGGTGCACCTGATCCAGGCCATGGTCTTTGCATTACTTGCTATGCATCAGAAAGCTGGACAATGGCTAGGGATGATAGAAGGAGAATTGATGCCTTTGAGCTGTGATGGTGGAGAAAATTATTGAATATACCATATACTGCTAGGAGAACAAATAGGTTCATCCCAGAGAGGGTGTGACTAGGCTGCTCTTCGGAGGCAAGGATTCTTAAGCTCTATCTGACATACTTTGGACATGTTGCAAGGAGGGACCAGTGCTTGGAGAGGAATGTCATGCTGGGAGTATGGAGGGACAGCACAGTAAAGGAAGACCCTGGATGAGATGGATTGATTCAGTGGCTGGGGATATGGGGGCAGGAGTGTCCGAGACAATAAGATTGGTACAGGATAAAGTAGGGTTTATGGCTTTTTTACATAGGGTTGCTATGAGTCGCAGGCGACTCAACAGCACATAATAACAACAATATTTTGGAGATTTCTGCAATATCCGTCCAGTTATTGTGACTTGTAGTTTCATGTTTTTCTATTATTTCTGGTACTGTGTTGGTTGTGCCTTTTCTGTTTTGTATTAATTTTTAAAAAAAATTCTTTTACCTCTTTATTTATGGTTTCATTTCTCTCTTCCATTATTTGTAACTTCTTTGATATCAATTCGTTGAACTCCACAAAGGTGTATACCTCTGCCTTCTTTTCTTTGAGTTATCTACTGGGTCAGCTGTTTTTGGAGAAGACTTGTTTTATTTTTTCATATGTTGAAACTTACTACTATTTCCTTGACATTATGTAGGTTTCTTCTTGGTATAGATGAGGTAGCTCCTGTGGTGACGATGTGAGTAGTTGCCAGTTCCATATTTTTAGGATGTCACTTTCCTGAGTGCACTTTTCTTGGCATATCTCAGTTGAAGCTGCAATAGCTCGTGGGCATATATGGGAGGCCTTTGACCAGCTCACTCCTGGGGGGGGGGAGCAGCTTCCCCAATAACAATAGTAGCAGCAGCAACAACAACAGAAATGGCAGAGGTGCAAGAGCAGAGGCCACAGTCAGAAGGAGGCTGAAAGGTCCATGGAGGTTGGATGTGCACAGGGATAGAATGGACTCACAGGCCACTTTCAGGTCACTTCCCTCTCTGCATGCTAGTCGCAGGAGGTAGATAGGCAGATGAGAACAGGGTGGGCCCATGAATGTCGAGATGTGAGCTGGACTCACTGGTGGCCCAAGACGCACTTCTCTAACTGCTGGTTCTACAAACAAAGTTTTGAAAGATGTAAGAAGCATCAAAAGAAGATGGGAAGTAGGGAACTCTGGTAGCCTAGTGGCAAGAAGCTGCACTACAATCTTGAAGGCTCACAGTTCAAATCCACCAGATGCTCTGCTGGAGTAGGAGGGGCAATCTCCTCCTGTGCCAATAGGATCTGATTCAATGGTACACAACAAGAAAAGGGGGAGGAAAAAAAAAAAGATGAGAGGAATACACAGAGTTACTTTCCCAGAATAATTAGTTGACATGGAACCATTACAAAATGTATCATAAGATCAAGAATACAGGTAATGAAAGAAGAAAGTCAAGCATTGGCAAAAACCAAAGCAAACCAAAACAAAAATCCACAAAAATCCCCCCAAAACCCAGCCCCAGGAGTTGATGGAATACCAATTCATATGTTTCAACTAACAGATGTAACCCTGGATGTGCTCCCAACTAGGTGCCAAGAAATCTGGTTCTACCTGGCCAACTTACTGGAAGAGATCCATATTTGTTCTGATTTCCATAAAAGGTGATCCAAAAGAATGTGGGAATTATCAAACAATATAATTAATAGCATTGTTGTTGTGTTGTTGTTAAGTGCTGTAGGCGACTCATAGCGACCCTATGAACGAAGGTCCTCAACAGTTGTGTGACTTTCATCCTTTCTCCATATTAATGGCCTATGCAAGTATAATCTAGCTGAAGATGATTGAAAAAATGGTAGAGCAATGTATTGACACAAAACTGCCAAAAATTTAAGCTGGAGTCAGAAAAGACCGTGACAGATGTGATATCTTGTTGATGTCGAATGGATCTCGTCTGAGATCAGAAAACATGAAAAAAAAGAGGTTTATTTGTATTTTATTGACTATGCAAACATTGAGAAGTTCAATTGCAGGATGTTTGATTATGCATATATGAAACCTATAAGTAGATCAAGAGGCTAGAGTCTGAATTGAACAAGGAAACACAGTGTGGTTTTAAAATCAGGAAAGCTGGACTGAGAAAAAAATCAGGTAGGCTGTGCATCAGGGTTGTATCCTTTCTCCACACCCTTTTTTTTAAAAAAAAATTTTTATTGTTTTTCATACAGTAATTTATTTACATTGTATTCCATACATTTCTCGTTTATATTGTGTTTCATATAACTGAACCCCATATTTCTCATATGTGTTTCATATAACTTAATCCCATATAATTAATTACCATTGATCTATGCTTATTATTATTACACCTTGTTTTCGAATCCCCATTGAATCTTTTCCATCCCCCCACCCTCCTTCCAATGCACTCAGTAAACTCTGCTATTCTAGTGATTCTCACCCATCCCCTTTTTTCTGGTCCTTTCTGCCTTTCCTCTTCCTCTTTTGGACATTTATATCAGTGCTAGAGAAGAGTATTGAATGGGCTGCTAAGAGAACAAACAGGTCCATCCTGGAAAGGGTAAAACCAGGCTGCTCCTTGGAGGAAAGGATTCTGAAGCTCCATCTAACATACTCTCAGCATGTTGCAAGGAGGGACTAGTCCTTTGAGTATAATATCATGCTTGGAAAGGTAGAGGGATAGTGCAAGAGAGAAAGACCACAGATGAGATGGATGGTCTCAATACTTAGGTAATGGAGATAGGTGTGTCAGAGACAATGAAATTGGTTCAAGATAGAGCAGGATTCAGAGCTATTGTTCAGAGCTTTTGTACATAGGGTTGCTATGAGGCAGCATCAACTCAACAACACTTAACAACAAACACTAGTTATCCTTTTATTTTTACAATAATGGTCTTATGCAGTATTTGTCTTTATGAAACTGAGTTCACTCAGCATAATGTTCTCTAGACTCTTCTATATTATACAGTATTTTATAAAATCATTACTCCTTAGTGTTCCATAGTATTCTATTGTTTGTATGTATCACAATTTCTCAACCCATTCATCTGGTGATGAGAATTTGGACTGTTTTCATATTCTTGCTATTGTGAAAGCACTGCTATGAACATAGGTGTACATATCTCTATTTTTGTCTCAGTTCTAATTCTCTTGAGGTATATTCCCAGCAGTGCAATAGCAGGATCATATGTGATTTTTAAAAATTAATTTTAAAAATGAATTTTAATGAAAGTTTATAGACTTTGGATTTCCATTCATTCAAAGTCACACTTTTCTCCCTGCCCAACCTCCCACCCCACTTCTCTCTTGAGGGATATATGGTTAGGTATTATTGCTTTGACAGGAGTACAGAATGAAGACTGCATAGTGGAGTGGACTTGGGGGTAGGGATTGTGTAACAATGAAAGAATTTTTCTTTTATTCTTCATACCCATTTTGTTTGCTGTTCTTGTTATGTGCCGTGAGTCAACTACGTCTCAAGACCCTATGAACAATGCATCTAAACTGTGTCCTTTCCTTTGTCTTCCTCATCATCTCTAGTATACCTGAGTCCATTGTTCCAGTCACTGAGCCCATCCATCTTGTACAGGGTTTTCCTTTCTAGCCATTCATCTGTTGAGGGCAATTTTGGTTGTTTCCATCTCTTTCCTATTGTGAATAGTGTTGCAATAACTTACAGCTGTACGTGTAGCTCTTAATGCTGTAGCTCTTACTTCTAAGCCTAGTACTACAGTTGTTGTTGTGGTAGTGTACTGCATGCAGAGTCAGAACCGACACAAAAACCCTCCAGTGGGTTTTCAGAAGCAGTAATTACCCTAGAAGAGATTGCCCATTCTTCTTCCGAGGAGCACCTGGTGGATTTGAACCTCATGCCTTTGGGATTGCAGCACAGATCTTGACACTTGACCTCCAGAGCTCCAGTACAATGAAAAGTTATTTGTCTCTACTATACAACAACAAGGTATTACAAATAATCTAGAGGGAGTTTAAAGTCTAAGAGGGGATGTTTGTTGATTATATGCAAATACTTTGAGCTCTGGGGGCCTAGTGGCGACAAAGCTGTGCTGTGATCCAAAACATACATGAAAAAGAAAAGTGCAAGTCTCCAGAGTAAACATTTGAGGCTTGGGAAATCAAAGAGGCTAACCCTTGACGTGAACCCCAGCTCTAGAAAGCCTCACCTTCTCGCCTCCCCTCAACTTAAGTGACGTCGACGTGGGCGTGACGTAACCCCGCTGAGGCGGGGCCACCAAGGGCGGGGCCACGTTGGCATGGTGCGCGGGGGAGCGGGGCCACGGCGTGGGCGTGGTCACGGTGGGGCGGGCATGCTGGGGGCGTGACCGGGCTCGGGGAGGCGTGGCCACGGCTGGCTGGGATGCCGTTAGCATGCCTGGTGCGGCGGGGCGGGATCACGGCATGGGCTTGGTCACGGCCAGAGGGCGTATTGGGGGTAAGGAGGGACTGGGACAAGGGGGCGTGGCCACGGGGAGCTGGCAGGCAGGGGGCGTGGTGAGCGGGGAGGCGTGGCTACTGTAAACTGGGGTGCGGGCGACATGTCGTGTGCGGCGGGGAGGGATCACGGCGTGGGCGTGGTCACGGCCGGAGGGCGTACAGGGGGTGCGGCGGGGCGGGGCGTGCAGGGCGCGGAGGCAGGGGCTGTGTAGCGCGCTGTGTGCGTCGCACTCTCGCCAGGCGGCTGCGGCGGCGGCGGAGCATATTAGGTCTGAATGTCTGCGCTGCCAGCCGTCCCGGACGAGGGGCCCCCGGAGCAGGGCGTGTCGGACCCGCCGCACGCAGGCTTCGTGCTGGGGCTGGACGTGGGCAGCTCGGTAATCCGCTGCCACGTCTATGACCGGGCAGCGCGGATCTGCGGTTCCAGTGAGCAGAAGGTGACCCGGGGAGCGCACGTCGGGGTGTCGTGGCGGGTCTGGGGATCGAGTCCCGCGAGCGGCGGGTGGGCGGATCTGCAGCACCCGTGGGCCCTCGGTCCCGAGCTGTGCTCCGCACCGCTGGGTCCGCGGGTTCGCTGCCCAGGCGCCCTGCACCTGCTCGCCTTTCCCGCGATCCTGAGGGCAGGAGGGGGCCCAGCGTGTCCCTCTCCCCGCCTCTTGTCCTTCTCCCCTGAACAGTCTGTCTCCTGTCCCATCTTAGCCCGGGTGTCACTGAGATGACTCCCAGGGCAGGTTGCGTGCAGCCAGGCTACAACATGGTTTGTAACTATTGTTTTATTCTTCTGCAATTCTTCGTAAACCTATAACCCTCCACATTCTCACTTTGCAAATCTTAATAAGATTTAAATGCGTTTATTTCTGAGTTGTCATTCTTGCTACTGGTCCGAGTGCTGCTTTTGCAAGGATACCTTATTCTCTCTTATATGAGTGACACTGAGCAAGTTTTGGAACGTCTGCTGCCAAGACATTCCTCTATCCTTTGAGAATTCATATATCTTGTTCTGTTTTCGGAAAGCCTGCCAAGTAACTGGCTTGTTACTAGCATTGAGCATCTAATAGTATGGAACAACAGCACAAATCGCTAATGATTTTTCTTTTCTCATTTTAATGACGCATTGATTTTTATTTTTTGTTTAATTTTTGTGTGAGTGTGCCGTCAAATCAGATCTGACTGGTACAGGAGGAGATTGTCCCTCTTTCCCCGGCAGAGCATCTGGTGGATTCGAACCGTGAACCTCTGGGATTGTAGTTGCAGCTCCTTGCCACTAGGCCACCAGAGCTCCCCTGACGCATTGATTTTTTTTTTAATTTTTAAAAATAATTTTAATGAACATTTACAGAGATTTTGGATTTCCATTCATTCATTGCTGCACTTCTCTCCCCGCCCAGCCCTCCCCCGACGCATTGATTTTTAACACAGTTGTCAGCAGACTTGTTTTTAGAATTTTGTTTTGTTTTGGGGCTAACTTCTCTGGAGGTTGAATCCACGAGAAAGGGGGGGGGGGGAATCCACTGTATACAAGCCTTGGAAAAACCAACAGAGAGTCAGCTTTGAATGGATAATAACTCAGTGCCCTTGAGTTTGAGGTTTTGTTTTTTTTTTTTTTTTCGTTTCTTGCGACAGAATGTTGCCCTGCCTTTTCTTGGGAAGCAAATGGCCAAGTGTTTTTGTACCCTGCCAGGTGCTACATTGGTTCAGACCATTAACCTTTATGTTAGCAGAAGATCAGGCAACTGTTGCACCATTAAGGCTCTTTCTGGATAATGTTGTTCTGTATAGTGGAAGGAAACGACCCTCCAGAGGGTTTTCAGAGGCTGTAAATCTCGCAAATGGCGATTGTTAAGCTATAGCTCAGGGTGCCTGGTGGACTTGAACTGCATGCCTTTTGGTTAGGACAGGAAATTCTTACCTTAGAGCCCTCCTTAGAGGCAAGGGTAGGGAGCCTCTCTTACACTTTGGGCATGATGCTGTGAGAGGCTATTCCATGGAGAGGGACATCTTGCTTGGAAAGGTAGAAGGTCATTGAAAGAGAAGAAGACCCTGAACCAGGTGGATTGACAGGTGTCTCTTGCAGTGGCCCAAGTGTGTCGTGGATGATGAACTATGGTGCAGGATGGGACAGGGGTCATATTGTTGTCTTAAATTGATGGCACCTAACGACACAAAACCATCAGAACACCCATTTGGGTAAGAGTATTCTTATTTGCTCTTCTTTCTGAACATCATTTTATGTTAAAAATAATAGGGACTTGCTTCTCAGCCTATTGTCTAAGGTCAAGTATAAAAGCAGTAGGGAGGACAGGGGCCATCAGTTACATGAGTCATTCCCAGCACTGGACTCCTCATTTTCTTACCATTCCAGTGAGTTTTTCCTGCATCAGTTACTCAGAAGCAGGTCTAGGCAGGGTGCAAGTAAGTAGTGACTACGTTGGTCATTTGTTCTGAGTGGACAGTAGTTGTTACGTGCCTTCATAGCAACCCTATGCATGAAAGCTCTAAACCCTGCCCTATCCTGAACCAATCTCACTGTCTCCGACACACCTCGCCCCATTATCTCAGCTGCTATGTCTCATCCAGGGTCTTCCTCTCTTGCACTGTCCCTCCACCCTTCCAAGCATAATTTCCTTCTTCAAGGACTGGTCCCTCCTGGCAACACGCTCAGAGTAGACAGTAGATTTCCCTAACAGGTTTGGGTTCAGGACAGTACACCAGAACTGAAGCAATTCTTTGGCGCTTCTCTGTTAGCTGGGCAGAAGCATGACACATCCACTCATCAGTCCCCACACTCCTGTTCACTACTTGTACCTTAGAAAGCAGATGAAAGGGAGACACTGTTCCCCCCAGACAAAGGGCACCTTATATGTCTAGTCAACTTTATCACAAACATGGTATTTTGCCAACAGTCTTCCTTATCATTCTAGACACAGAGTATCTTCAGAAGTTTTTGTTGGGTCTTAGGTCAGCATTTACAGAACAAATTAGTAACGATTTGTGTAGAAAATGTTCCTAACATCTAAGTCCCCTGTAATGTTCAGCACTCTCCCCATTTTTACTCTCTCTTTGTCAGATTTCCAAGGCTCCCTGATTTTCATCTTTGTTTTGGCAAATATTATCCTTTTGTTTTTGAGTCATTGATAAGGAACAGATTTCCTCTAAAGTGTTTTTTTGGGGGCCTATTGAGGAACCTTCGGCAAGAAAGGTTGTGTCATCTGCATAATGCAGGTTGTTAATGAGTCTTCCTGCATTCCTGATGCCACATTCCTCCTCATAGAGCCCAGCCTCCCTGATGATCTGTTCTGCATATAGATTGTAAAGGTATGGAGACAGTATGCTTCCCTAGTGTACCTTGTATTTGAACCATGCAGTGTTTCCTTCCTCTGTTCTGAGGACTGCTTCTGGTCCAAGTGTATGTTTTGCATAAGCACAATCAAGTATTCTGGTATTCCCATTCCTCTCAGAGTCAGCCACAGCTTGTTATGATTCACACAGTCAAATGCCTTTGTGTAGTTAATGAAACACAGATAGACCTGAGGCATTTGATGCAGAAGGTCAAGGATTGCAGCTTTCAGTATGGATTGAAGCCTAACACAAGAAAACAGATTTCTCACCACTGAACCTATTGGCAGCATCATGATAGATTGTGAAAATATGGATATTAACAAGTTATTCAGTTAACAGTTTCAGCTTGCTTGGATCTGCAACCAGCACTCTTGGTACCAGCAGCCAGGAAATCAAAAGATGAATTTCACTGGGAAAGTCTGCTGTCATGGATCTCTCCAGAGTGATGAAGAGCAGTGATGTCAATCTAGAGACTAACAAGCGCCTGATCCAGGCCATTGTCTTTGCAATTACTTATTATGCATTGGCAAGCTGGACCATGATGAAGATGATAGAAGAATTGATGCCGCATGGACTGCTAAGAGAACAAACAGGTCATTCCTGGAGAGAGCAAGTCCTGGAGAGGCAAGGATTGTGAAGCTCCATCTGATATACTTTGGGCATGTTGCAAGGAGGAACCAGTACTTGGGAGGGTGGAGGGACAGCGTATGAGAGGAAGACCCTGGATGAGATGGATTTATTCAGTGACTAGGGTAATGGAGGTAGGTGTGTCAGAGACAATGAAACTGGCTTAAGATAGAGCAGGGTTCAGGGCTTTTGTCCGTAGGGTTGCTGTGAGTTGGAGTCGACTCAATGGCACATAACAACAACAGGAGTCTTTGGGAGCTCTGTTGGCCTTGTGATGAGCAGCTGTGCTGCAATCCCAAAGCCTCACAGTTTGAATCTATCAGTTGTTCCTAATGAGAAAAATGATCTCTCCTCCCTCATGATCACCTGGCACTGAAAACCCACCAGACGGTCAGCCATGGGTCGGTACCACCTAGACAGTAAACAAGAGCCTTGTTGGAGGGCTGTGTAACATACTCTGTTAACAGAAAGGTTAGCAGTTGGAAATCCATTGGTGGTTCACCGAGTCACCATTGACTTGCCAGCAGTCAGTTGGGTCTGTTATTTTTGTTATGTTTGGTTTGTTATGTGCTAGGCTCCTCAAAACTTTTTTTAAGGTCATTTTTTGAATTTATTAATTAATTGATTGCTTCATTTATTAATAAATAGCATTCAGTTTATTACAAATATTTAGTATTGGCTTCCCATATTTCCCCCCTTTTGTTTTTATCATAATTATGTTATCATCTAGATGAGCATCCTTTATACACAAACAAATT